TTCAACCTATCGCGAGTTACAGTAATGGTATTTTGACTAAAATGACGTGTTATGGCTTTCAGAAGGCAAATTTTACTTACTTGCGCTCTAGTGGTTCCGAAAACTTTTTTCATCTACTTGTTCACGAAAACGGGGAATGAACTGAACAAACATAGGTCGTGCATGTGCAAAAATGGATTAATGTAATGGGCGTGGCATACACAGTAACCTCAGTGTCCGACGAAGCGCGCTGTCGTTGATGTATAAAACCTTGTGTCCCTGCGGGAAAACGGAATATTTCCGTAATCCTCACTTAATGATTTTTTGTTCCAATTCCAGCTCATTGTTGATGCTTTTGGCTTTGTACCGTCGCGAGGTTGAAAAAACGTCCGGTGTCTGTGCACCGCTTTGGTTGAAGATAGCAATGGTCTTGCCGAGTGTACTAATCGAAGTAGGTGTAGGTCCTCACATTGTATGGATTGTCATACATTTCTCAATGTTCGCTACGTTTAGGTTGCTTTCATGATGCTTATGTGCAACGGAATTATCAGTGGTGCTTGGCATTGGCGCAGCTTTGAAGTGTCTAAAAGCATGATGGCGCTTGCTGTTGCTTATGCTGTTGTATTGTGTTGTTTTGTTTGCTTTCTGGTAGGAAAGGCTTTTACTCTTGAAACAAAAACTTATTGGTATTGCCAGCTACCTGAGCTGACAGCTGAAAAGTTGTAAGAGATCAATATTCAATATTTACTTCCGAATATACGTCAACAGTTTCGATGTAGAGCTCTGAATTGCATAAAGAAAACATTCCGCGCGGCACGAATACAGCTCTTCAAATTCGCTTCAAGTTCTTCCAAGTTCAAGTTCTCGTAGAGATTCGCGTCCCTGAGGGATATTTGTCATCTTCGGATCCCACTTCGGAGGCATATTAATCCGAATTATTACGATGATAGTATTCTTGGCCGTTTTGCAAATTGAATGGTTTTGAATACTGCGAATATGGCTGCCAAATCTCCTGCAGTTGGCCTGGTAGATGGAGGGTGACTTACTAATACATCCGAGCCGTTCTCAGAGGCTTATTTTCCAGGCAAAATCGAGAGGAATGACTGGAATGAATTTAAAATGGGAGAAAAGCAGCTCTGAGCTTACTACCGAACGAGCTGAAAGTGAAAGGGAATAAAAGACGCTCATCGCGGCATCCACCATGAAAGACTCTGCTTATTAATTTCGACGTCAAACCTGTTATACAAGGGTTGTCTTTGTTCTGTATAGGCTATCGGCTCGACGAGTAGCCGATTACAGAGCATTCAAGAGCCATATCGTAGCTAAAGGATGGGTCAAGCGTGTCCTGCGAAATGCCTAATGTAGATAGTGTTTCTATGGCGGAGAGGAAGCGATATTTGGTGGTATCGGCAGCGCGATCGGCAGGTTGGATAGTGCTGATGTTTTTTTTTTATCTATTTATTTTGGTCCATCTGAAACGGGTTGAAGTATCTCCTCGAATATACTCCGAATTTCCAAGGAATCGCCGAGTATAGGAAACTTACGCTGTCGGAATTGTTACTATTTGTGCAGTTTTGAAGGTTATGCGTTGTATTAACGGATCTAGAAAAATGATGTGTTGGTAGTTGGAATGTAAGAGTGAAGATGTCTAGGATCTGAGGCTGTATAAAAGGAGATGTCAGCTGCGAAGCTATGCTTCACTCTGGCTCGGCGTTCAAGCTTTGAAACAAAACAAACATAATCATTGTTATTGTGGATTGGTTCATGCATTAATAAAAGCTTTTCACCATCTAAAAGAGCAAAATTTTCAGTTGCTTTTCAGTTCGTTGCTTCAACGCAGCTTGCCAGTGATAGTATGATGTGCCGCCGATCAAAACGAGCTCCGCTCAAGTATCTTCTGCCAGACCGGACTAGTGCTGATCTAAACCCCTCTGGAAAGCCCAGACGACAGCGAGTGTATGGCGATTCTCAAAGTAATGTCTACGCTTTCAATAAATTCAGCTAGCGAATAGCTAAAGGTCGACGCTGTCGGCCAGCTGTCTTGCCAATTGTACAACCTGAGGAGCCAGCCGCTAGAGACGATAGGCTTGAAGTGGATGGGGGGCATGGGACAGGAAATCGAACCGTCGCGTTCGCATTTTTTCAAAAATTTCGACCCACCCCCCTCCCAGCCCCCCCCAAAAAAAAACGGTACCGTCGAGTGGGAGAGGCAGGGGGTGGGGGGCAAGGTGAAGTGTACCGATGAAGCGTGAACTCCATACATTTTCGCCTGCGTTCTCTCACTTTTCGTTAGAAATTTGAACCAAATTCTCAAACAAAACCCGTCAAACGCAAGCCCATCTAGGGAACCTCGTCTGCTTTAGTTCCGATCGATAACTTCGCTCAACCCCAAAAATTGCAGAATCCCTCTCCAATTCTCCCGGAATCAAAATACGAACCCCCACAATCTTCGATTAGTGCAAACGACGGTTGAACCTGAACATGGGTTTTTTCGTACAAAACACCTATCAACCGGGCGGAGCTCCGCCCACAGTGGGCGGGATACGTGCCGAAGTGGGAGCGACTGCACACCTTTCGAGTTCGGTCAGAACAGCCGGAGAACAAGGAAAAAATGGGTAAGGGTGTGCCCGGGTTGCTAGTAAGGAACATATTGCCCGGTTGGTTGTGTTTGTAGCCCAGCCTACAGAGACCGATACCTGCATAGCAGGACTATATTACCAGTTAGCAACCCATCGTCTGCATTTTGTATTGGTAGCAGTGCCGAACGATTCACAACACTGCGCTGTGCTTGCAGGCAGCAACCACAGGTGTGAAGGGACAAGGAAGGTGTCAGTAGGGGCATTTTCGATTTTTGGAAGCGGTGTACCTAGCATGGTGCTTTGCGATAATCGCTGGACGTTCAGAATGAATCATTGGTATTCTGTCGAGGACAGATTTCGTTGGGAAGTGCCCCATATGGGTGCAGAGATTTTTTGAGGGTTTATTCGGTTAATGACGGCTGTAAGCAGGAGGAGTCAGTACAAAAGAGTGATGAGAAATTCAGAGGTTTTGGTGGTGTCCAGCATTCATCATGAGGAAGGTCTCCGATGGAGTTGAATAAAGTTTGCTCACACAACGTGGTTCACTAGGACAGAAGCGACTTTTTCGCGTTTCGCAGCGCGAAACATTTTTCGCTGCGGGAACCTCAGGTCCACCGCTGATCATGAGTGGACCTGGAGGTTCCCGCAGCGAAAAATGTTTCGCGCTGCGAAACGCGGAAAGTCGCTTTCTGTCCTAGTGAACCACACCCGATGGCTTAGGCTTTTGGTATGGTTCGCTGAGCGATGGTTCGTGCTCCTGAGTGAAGTAGTAGCAAGTGTCTGTAAAAATCTCATTGCCATTAACCGTATTATCACATATAAGTGCAATTACTACTTCCATGCTTATAAGAATAGAGCACTCATAATTCCAGTATCAAGCCGAAGCTGAGCGTGCTCCATTGATCTCGCCACCCGACGGGAGCTCAATGTTCCATAAAAGTGCCGAGAATTCGTTGGATATGTCATCAGTGAATAACAACGACCGGAAACTGTCACATGCCTACACTCCGTCTCCGAAAAAACGTGAGATTTTGTTTTACATGGTATAATTTCGCAGCTTCCTAGAGCTATTTCTCATGAATTTCGGTACCACAAGATTTATAGCAGATAGCCACGTAGTCAGCTACGTGATCATACAGTATCTGCGCAAATGCTTATGGGTAGATTGAAGTAAATTAGGTTTTCCATTCACTTTTTATTCATTTCATCAGTTTTTCTATTTTTGAGAACCTTACTCTTTTTCACACCTTACTCCCTCTGCCAGTAATGCAGTTGCAGTGCGTGCTGTGGATTCACCGCCATATGCTCGTTTGCGCCCTTCCACATTTCACGTCACCAGTGGACTAGGCTCAGGTGTGAAGGCCATACCACCACAACCTAAGACACATGGGTTAGATAGCTCTTTTCGCTCGGATTACTCGAGGACGAAGCCGTATGATTTGTGGAAGGTGAGTGATTCCTGTTTTTTTTTTTGTTGTTTTTTTTTGAGATTTGAAGGGCATTGATGCCTTCGGATGTTGGGTTCGCAGTAATGAACCACAGGGCCTTTTATGAATTCTTACTTAGGTGCTCCCTACAGACAGCCGTCCTGGTACAATCTCATTGCACGAATACTCTTCATTGGCAGCAGTAACGGCTGCTGGGATTGAATCTTTACTGGTTCACTTTGTGAATCGCTGTAGCTTTTAGTTACAGTGTATGTGTCAAGCGTCGGCCCCCTATCTGTTCTCAGAAGAACTGCCGAAATGACGTTGTGGTTCTGCTGCCGTAAAGTTATGGAAAAATCGCGTGTTTTTATTGGCCACTCAATTTTTCTTGCAGTTTTGGCGTGTTTGCACTTTAGCAATTATCCCCACCCCCCCTTTCATGTATACTACCCTATAAATGCAGTCAAATAATGTTGTTAAAACAATCTTGCAGAGAAGCTTTCAAAGTAGCGCGTTTCCTTCTTGACAGGTCGTGGGTGGTGAGTTTTTTCGCTTGATTTGGTGATTTACTCCTTAGTGTTGTAGTCGAAAGCGCGGTAGGGAGAGGCAGAAACTGATTTGAAGGAGATCACCTGAACCTTAAGCCCGTTTACGCCTTGTAGGGAGACGACTCGTCGAAATGTCAGCGACACTTGGTAAAGTCTTATTGAAACCTGTTCTCAGAAGTAAAACATGTATAAGGTCTTTTTGTGTGTTTTGCTTGGGAGCTTCCAAGACTGCGGCTGACTTTGATTGGGCCAACGTTCTCACGTTTGGAAAGTGGAGTTTACGATAAAAAACTGTCAGCGCACTGCGAAATCATATGGGAGTAGGTGGGTTGTTGTGGATGCAGGGACATGAAAAGAACTGGTGTGGAAAAGATGGTCAGAAGGTGAGGAAGATGCGGACACTTCCTAATGCGTTGGTTTCACAATTCGATTGTGATTTCTCGGTGGTACCCTGTCCAACTCGGCGTGTCCCCCCAAGGGCACATCGCGCGGCCGGTAACCGGCACCTACAGTATGAGCGGCAAACAGGGTCAACCGCTTCCGTTGGACGAAACGCGGCGAAGTTTAAAGAGAGCAAAGTACCAACGAATGCGGAGATCGTATTTGACCGACGCTAGAGGGGAGGGTCGTATTTGCAGGAGTCAACTTGCAGTACGAAGAGGTTTTTGGGTGTAGATGACGAGAGGTGGTTTTCGCTATAAGGAACCTAATGTGTGTTGTGATGAAGCTCGCAGCTGTTGGCTCTTGCTGGGACCATCGAACGATTAGAATCAAGACGTTAGTTCCCGCGACAGTAGGTAAGAGGTAAAATTTTTGAGTGCTTCTTCAACTATTAGCACAAACGAGTGCATGGCGCACATCAGAGCAGAACAGTCTACTACGAAAGTATCCATATTTGGCTGCAAAAGTACACAAATATAATTCTAGAGGTGAACCAATGTTTCAAACTGGACCCAAGTTAATAAAAGAGTGACCTCAATGGTAGATCGACTGCTAAAGGGCTACAAGAAAAGTTTGGGAACAAGAATATTTGCTTTTCGGAAACTTCTTGAAATATGTTTAGCATCTGTAATGAAGCACAAAGCTCGTGCGATGTCACGGTATCATTAATTCCCGATAAAATTGAGTTTGAAGAGAGTTGTCTGTGTTTAAGTGTTGAAAACCCGTGTTTTCAGGAGAGTAGCGCCGAAAATTCATGAAAAAAAAACGGTCCAACGGGGCGATTTTTTGACTCCTTCCAACTTTTGAAAGGAGATAAAGTGACTCTAGTGTAGTTGGGAAAGTTCAACCTTCTTCCCATCAAGGACGGGAAAAGGAACTCTGTAGAAAGCATTGAATATGAAGAAAGTAATATAACAATTGAAGCCAAAAAAACGTGCGCTCTTGACACAACATTAAACGCGGGTGCGCGATTTCCCCAAAGCACGTCAGCAAATCCACTAATTTTGCTTTTGGCTCCCCTTCTTAAGGCACGCTCCGCGATTAGGCGCGCTCGCCTCTTCCATCCCGGTGGTGGTAGTAGGCAGGCGGACAAGTGTTGTTGTCGCACCCCTTTTGCCGCTTGAAAGTGCGCGACAAAGGCACAAGCAGCTCGTCCGACCTGCAACTCACACCTTCGTCCGCAAGCCCCACCCTCCGCTGTCCGTTGCCACGTGGCGCTGCTTGAAAAGCGCGGGCGCATTTGAGGCAGCGGTCCCACCGCGACCCTGTGTCAATGGCACTGGAGCAACTAGAGTCAGGCTCGCGAAACTCGTCCAACGCGCCTTTTCTCTATCCCAAGGTGGAATGTTGCTGAAATAGGGGAGGTTTCTGTACGGGGCGTAATCTGTGATTTCGTTTGCTTTCCTTCTCTTTTATAGACCACCTCCCACCTCTAGTATCATGACTGAACGCTTTTAGACACCTATTTTATCCCGAATCTTGCCTTTAAGAAAGGGTTTAAGTAGTTCGTTAGAAGAGCTCGCAAC